GAGGGAGCCCCGAGGGAAGCCGGCGCCTCTAGGCACACCTGTTGCACCGACACCACGCCAAATAACGATCAGCAGGCAAAGGTGGGTGTGAACCGCCCAACGCTGGCCGGGAGACGCGCCGAGGCAGGCGTCAAATAGAAATCTGTGTCTAACACTGGCTCACGGCCAAGGCGAAGGCATCGCTTTAAATCTCCCTTCCCTTGAGGTTACTCACCTCCCCCAAAAGGCCTCCCATCTGCTGTCTCTCCCCGCCGGCCCTCCGCAGCAGGCCCCCCCCAGGGATTTCACCTCTTCACCTGCAACGGCTTGTGGGGTGGTACAGCGGCTTTTGCCCTGGGTCCTTCACAGAGCCACATCCGCTCCCTAAGCTCTCGGGGGTGCTGACTATAGACAGGAAGAGTCTCGTGATGAACCCCAAGTGGATCTGACAGGCAACAGGTATCAAGAGATCCCCCCGCCCCTCACCCAGCCAGCCTCCGCCCCAACGCCCTTCCTGCACGGGGCCCGGGTGCCCCTGAACAGAGCTACTCACCTGGAGCTGCATGACCACGTAGTTAAACTTCTCGTTCCGCCCGCAGCCGATAAATCTGCAGACATGGTCTTTCCCTGCAGGGAAATACAAACGCACAGAGCAGCACGTGAGAAACCAGACCCAGCACCAGCAGAGGAAGAGCTTCGCCGCCCACATGGAGTCCGCCTGAGGAGAGAGAAGGGGGGGCCGCCAGAGGGCTGCACAGTGGTATCAGGGAAGGCTGATTGGGCCAGTCAAGGAAACAGAGTCTCAAGTCTCCCATCACCTACCCCAGGCAATCAGCCTCTGGAACTCACAGCCACTGGAACCAAGAGCTTAGCACAGGAACGAGGCGTCGCTCTAACAATGCTATACAGAGTTAGAGTACTCAGAGTTACCGTAAATTAGCGTATATAACCCGCGGGTTATACACATTTTTACAAATCCCGCCCCCCCCCTACATGTCCGCGGGGTATACAAGTTTATTTTTACTCACAAGCAGCTCCCCCGCCTGGAGGAGGGTGGGTTGTGCCTGGCTGCGGCTGTGCGGGGCCTGGGCGTGAGTGCAGTGAGTGGCTGAATGCAGGACCTGTGGGCTATACACGGCCATGGGTAATCTAAGGGTTTTTTTTTTTTTACATAAAAAAGAAAAACCGTGGGTTATACACGGGTGCAGGTTATACACGGGTGCGGGTTATACACGGGTGCGGGTTATACACGGGTGCGGGTTATACACGGGTGCGGGTTATACACGGGTGCGGGTTATACACGGGTGCGGGTTATACACGGGTGCGGGTTATACACGGGTGCGGGTTATACACGGGTGCGGGTTATACACGGGTGCGGGTTATACACGGGTGCGGGTTATACACGGGTGCGGGTTATATTCGCTAAACTACAGTACTCCTCCAAGGCTAAAGCTGCTGGCCACTCAGCCAATCCCACAGCCCAAAGGAGGTACTTCCTCAGTCAGTTAGCAATCTCTGGCTCCTCCCACCTAGAGACACTGGCGCCTCCCACCTAGAGACACTTCTTTCCCACACCTGTTACCAGTCGCTGCTTCTGGAACCCTTCCCTGAGTTATTCCTTCCAGTGCTCCCTCCAGCTGTCCTGGTCACTGCAGAGGGTACATATGGATCATACGAAGGAGCCGAGTAGCTATTCTGAAAATTAAGTTCTCAAGATCTCAGAGTTAAAGCAGGTCCCAGAGAAGCAACGTACCGTGGAAACGTTCCTTACAGGCAGACGGTAGCGGACGCCTAGCTCCCTGGCGGGCCATCTGCCTACCATGTGATCTCAGATTTATTTGCATACTGAGCCACAGGCAACAAAGAGGAGCTTGCAAAATGGACAGGAAAGGAAACTGACAGGAGGAAACAGCAGAGAGGGTCCTGTGTATGAATCAAGCCGGAGGACTGTTGGGAGAGATCTTTGGGCTGCAAGGAAACCCACGGAATCCTTCGCCTGTCAGGCGCGCTGACAGCAGGCCTGCCTCATGACAGGCATCTCCCAGCCAGCCTGCCTGAAAAGCATCTAGAGCAAGCTGCCCTCGGCCAGGCACGAGAGTGTCTAGCTAATTGCAGCTGGGTCCCAGAGGGCATTAGGATATGATTTTATGCATAACCATTCCCCCGCAGCACTTCTCCTGGCTGCACGTGAAGCTCTGGGCTTTGTTAGACAATCCCGTGCTTGATTTCACCACACACACACTCCGCGAGTTCAGCGGACCGGTGGGACTGGTGAGCGGGGGGTGTCGCGGACGCCCTCAGCTGTGCCCAGACACGGCCCGGTCCGTCACAGGGGGTGCTGATACTTTAGAAGCAGTGGGTCAGTGAACACTTCAAGAGGACACAGGGCTGGACACTGAAAGGGCTTGGAGGTAGCAATGTGCCCATGGTTTACTGGCAGACACACCGCGGGGGCCTAGAGAGGCGGGTTTGGATTGTCTGCAGCCAGTGGAGGTAGGAGCTGAGCCTCGGCGGACACACACAGGGTATGTCTAGACTACATGGCTCCGTTGATGGAGCCAAGTAGATTAGGTTTCTAGACATAGGAAAATGAAGTGGCAATTTAAATAACTGCCGCTTCATTTACATCAAAATGGCTGCCGCGCTGTGCCGATCGGCTGGGAAAAAAAAGTAGAAAATACCAGACATTTTAAGTGTCTCGTATTTTCTGAATTTTTTTTTACCGGACAGGAGGCAAAAATACCGGACTGTCCAGGTCAATACCGGACACCTGGCAACCCTGTAAGGACAGGCGGTCGCGAGATGCCTCACATGCCTGACTACCCCCAGGAAGTGTCTCAGAAGTCAAAGGTCACTTGAATCACAGTTTTGGCCTTTTTCCTAAATAAAATGCTGTCAAACTGTAGCTCACTGACCTTCCAGAATGCTCCATGGCCTTCTGAACCGTGCTTACCCTCCCCCCCCGGGGCTCTTCCCGTGCCTATGTTTCTGGATGTCACTGAGCCCGAGAGACGGCCCTTCGTGCCCTGAGGCCGGGCAGCGCTCCCACGCTGTGATCCCCACGCCCTGCGTGTCAGGAATGAGTCCTCCTGAGACTGGGAAAGAAATGACACTTGGGGATACAGGCCAATCAATTCCCACGTGCTGGAAACACCCACCCGAGACGTGGCTAGGCCCAGGCGCCTGCCCGGCACAGGAGAGGGGGCGGCTCAGGGGGCGGCCACATGTGACACAGGGAGGGCGCTCACCAGGCACGAGTCCTGCAGGCCCCAAACAGACAGACAGACACAGACAGACAGGAGAGGCCTAGGAAAGGCAGAATGCGGCTCACCTGCCTGCTGTGTGCACGGTGGACACAAGGGCTTGGGACACGGGCAGCTCCACTGCCCCTCAGACTATCCCGATTCCCAGGCTGCGTGACTTCACCTCCCTCTGTGGCCTGGGAGGTGATGTCCAGTCCAGGAGGAGACCCTGTCCCACTCTCATTGAGGCTGGGGAGAAAGGCCCCGCCCGGGAGTCCAGAGCAGGAAAGGAGCCGTGCCCGTTGTAGAGCAGCGGGGAAGCAGGCCCCAGAAAGTCAGCAAGTCCTTGGGGCAGCCGAAGCATTTTCCAAGGAACCGCCCGCTCCCAATCAGCACACAGAGACCCCCTTCCAGCCCCCACCCGCCCCCTTTGACACCAGGCACGCACGCCCCTTGCCTGGCGAGCACACAGATTTACCGGCCCACCCCCCACGGGTCTGCCAAGGGAGGAGAGCCGAGCGTCCCGGAGCCGCGCCCGCAGCGTTCCCCAGGAACGAGAGCAGCACAGGGACGCGAGGGAACGGCACCGGCAGCGGCCAGCACACAGCCATGTGGGCACAAATGGGCCACGCGCACAGGGGCCTTGCATGGCCCCTCCCCCACACAGTGCACCGCCGCCCGGGGGGATGGGACCCTGGCACAATCAATCAGACCGCAGCCCCCGACTGCTGCATGGAGCAGCTGGGCCGGGCGGGGGAAGTGCCCCAGTGAACTCTGGGAGTCTGTGTGCCTGGGAGCAGGCGTCCCGCGAGGGAGAGAGCACACACGGCTCAGCCGTCTGCAGCAGCACAGTGCCTCTGCGGTAGAGCTAGCAGGCAGGATGCTCGGCTCCCAGCACACACAGGTCCTCCCCTGCCGCTCCCCCCCAGCTCTCGCAGAGCAACCATCCCACCGCTGCCTACAGAGCGAGCCCGGAGCCTGTGGAACACGCCTGCCGAGCGGGGCCCCCCGCTGCCGTCCCTGCAGAGCCGGGCGCTTCCCTCCGCACGGCACAAAGGACCCAGTGACATTTCTGACAGTGACTGCAGCGGGCCCCGCCCAGCACAGGCACGGTTTCCAGCAGGAGCACAGAGCAGGGCCAAGGGGATCTACCCGTCGGGTTTGCACATGGCACGTAACTGAAGGGAAGCCAAAGGTGTTGCCACCAGGCACGCGGCAGAGGGTCCCCGCGCCTCGTCCCATGTGCCTACCCTTCACAGAGCATTAGCATTACAACAACAAACCCCAGGGGCCTCCAAAAGTCAGGGAACAGAGTTAAAGTAATGTCCTGCCCACAACTCCTCCCCCCAAACAACCTTAACTCTGCCCCAGCGGGGATGCCCCAAGGGACTCAGTATTGTAACCCTCCCTAACAAACTCTGGCATTTTATAGCAGTCCCGGGCGCTCTGGAAAGTAACAGCCACGTATCCTGACGCCAAGCAACTAAGTCTCCCCCTGCCAGCATCTCAAAGCAGGCGCAGCTGCTCAGGAGAAGGGGAAACCGAGCTCCTCTCAGAGTCACGGGATTCCTCCCGTCAAATAAGAACACGAAAACGCGGCTCCTTCCTTTCCTTCGCTACACGCGCCCCCACACACTCCTGGAGGGCGGTGTCGCTCCGAACATCCCCCGGCCTCAACCTCGTCCACTCCCCAGAGCCAGGCTCTGTGCACGTGGAGAGAGGAGCTGGCAGGATGAGCACAAGAGGTGTCCCTCTCCCCTGCCTGGCAACTCGACTTCTCGATGCCCTTCCCTGCCCCTGGCTGATGGCCACCCGCGTCTGACGCTGGCTAATCCCTGCTGGGCATTAGCCTTGGCTCTTGCCTGCCCTAGCGACGACTCCAACGCAGCCCTGGGCCCAGAGATTTCCCCGGGAGCGTATGCCCTGCGCAGGATGAGCACAAGAGGTGTCCCTCTCCCCTGCCTGGCAACTCGACTTCTCGATGCCCTTCCCTGCCCCTGGCTGATGGCCACCCGCGTCTGACGCTGGCTAATCCCTGCTGGGCATTAGCCTTGGCTCTTGCCTGCCCTAGCGACGACTCCAACGCAGCCCTGGGCCCAGAGATTTCCCCGGGAGCGTATGCCCTGCTGATGGCTGCTCCGCTGCCAGGGCCCGACTGGCGGGGCCAAGGCCGCCCAGACAAGCCCAGCAAAGTGGGCAGGATCCAGCTCTGACGAGGGAGCCCGCTCAGGTTAGGCGGGGGTGGCGGGGAGGGCAGACCGAGCTGGAGGGGGCCCGGAGCCAGAGCTCCCCGCTCTCTGGGCGAGCTGGGGAGAGTCCAGGCGACAGCGGCCCTGGACAGTCGCCGCCCCGCTCCAGCCTCTCCTCAGATCCAGGCACTGAACG